TGTTATTCTTGGATAAAGACTTATTCAATCAGGTCGCTTTAGGTGATTTAAGGTTAAATTAAGTTGAATGGCATCTCAGCCTACTAGGGAAAAACCCTATATCGGACCTTAGTCGACCTAGGGCGATCAAGTAATTTACTAACATTAGTTTCTGCTTCATGCAATGCATACAGTATGTCTTAGCTCCCATCGAGAATCATCTGTATAGAATTAGTGAATGCCTTGATCCTCCTACACATGAGAATATCGTTTTTTTCTTTTTTACCTCTACGAAGATGACGTTTGGTGTAGTCCCTTATTTTTTGCTCAACGTTTTCGTTGTTAAGGAGTAAAAAGTAGATGGTTGGAAGAATTATGCGATTCCATTGGTTTGTAGACTCAAATATGCTTTCACGTTTTGTATTTTAATGAATCTATTCGTTTTCAGTTATCAGCGTGATTGGCGCTTCCATAAGAAGGAGGGCGTCTGGCTGACACGCATGTCCGGTGTAGAATTTACCACTGATGCCAACTCTGAGCAAGGTTACTATTACTTTTGGGACCAAATGAGCGCCCAGAAGCTTATGCGCCAGATGACCATCTTCTATACTGACTTGGATAATGTTCCACTGTTTTTACGCATCCATTCGCCACATCTTAGTTCCAGCGTCAGTTTTGCCCCTGTTTCGCCGCATTCAGTAATGACCGCAGCCGCCGCTTCCGCAAGCCAGCCATCTCAATCACAGCCGACCCAAGCTTCGGGGCCCACAGTTGGTGGTAATAGTTCTGCATCAGTTGCTGCTGCAGCTGCCCTTGCAGCAGCTGCGGCCGCTGCTTCGAATCCATCCCAAGGATCTCCTGCCGCTAGCGCTGGTGGTGGAGGGGGTGGTAGTGGTAGTGGTAGTAGCGGTGTCGGAGTTGGAGCTGCCAATACTGGTTCACAGTCACAGCCGGGGAGTCTGGCTGCAGCCGCTCTTGCCGCTGCCGCCGCCCTCTCACAGACGCAGGGCCACCATTCTGGAAGTGTACACCACCACCCGGCATCTGTGCACGCCCAACAGCAGCAGCACGCACGTGCGCAGCAAGCGACTGCACATCTGCATCAGCAACAACAACATCTTCGCCAACAGCAGCAATCCTCGTTGCATCAACAGCAGCAGCAGGCTGCTATAGCCGGTGAGCTACTTTTTTATGGTCTAGACCACCATAACTACTTTGGTTGTTGCAGTAATATAAACACGAGGGTGATCAGCAAAGTTTTTTTCATATCCAGTAAAGATTCATTTTGAAATATCTTAGTATTATTTAGAGTCGGTAACGAAATGGGCTTAAAATGGCGAATTCCCTAATGGTGCTAGCAATGAACAATATTCCCCAAAGGTAGTTCTTTAGGCCTAGCGGACCAAACTTCCTATTAATTTATTACTTTTTTTCTTGCTTCTGCTTCACTTTAACATGGAAACCTAAGTCCTTAGATTGACTAATTAGATCAACTTGTAAAACAATTGCCCTAATATTTTGTCTGAAATTGGACAAGATTATCAGGCGACTCAGATAATTATCACTAGATGGGAGGGGGGTTACTTTTTCCAACTACTACTACCGTAAATAAGTAAGACGTCTGTATTATTTAATCTATCCACTTTGTTTCTCTGTTTCCTAAATACTCAGATCGTTTTTGCTATCGCTTATACTAACTCATCATGTAGCTAATAAAATCGCTATCCTTTAGAACTTGCTGAATTTGACTGAGTAATAGGGTCATCGCACTTTGTATTCATCTTTTATCTTCAAGATTTCCATTAATTCTGATTCTTTAATTCCGACCTCGTCTTCATGTTTGTATATTAGTCTCGGGCGATTACCCATACATCAACTCTTGATGACTACATTGAATAAACTATCTTTTAGCTTGCGGCACTTATTCAATTATGGGCTCATGTGTACATTTTACGTGGCAAACATTGCGTATCTACTTGTGTAAGACGGATATTATTTTCCGAAAGAGAAACTTACAATCTTTTCTTCTAGCCTTTAAACCATCCCATTCTTAATGGATTCGCATTTTGTATTTTTCCACGGATTTTTTGTTATATTTCACATTTTTAACATTTTACCTGTTCCTTATTATTTTATTGAACTATACATTATTGATTTGTTATGCGGGCTGAAGATTTGCTTTGACATTATTTGCTGCATTAATATACAGCCATATACATCGATAATAAATTGTAGTGCAGCTCCTAGGACCATGATTCACGATGCCATTACATTTCTATTAGCCTTGCTTCAACAAAGATATTTTCTTGTTAGGAGGACCTTCATTTCGGATGAAAGTGCATGAAGAAGAGATTCGTTGGTCGATCTCACCAGACGAGGACGAATGAACCTCGTTGTACTGCTGCCGTTTAGCTTTCATACGATATTCATGTTGACGCAGTCCACGAGACTTCCTCCCTCGTTTCGAGTGAAAATGGGTTGAGCTTTCGTCCATCATATGATGGACATAATCAGCGCTGGGTGTCATTATCAAAGTCTCACGTTAACACTAAAGCAAGAACACTATCCGGCTCTATCTTACTTCTTATATAGACTCAATCGAGCAAAAAAATTAAAAACCTAATTAGATCGATATAAAGTGGTTTGGTTAATTTTCTTTCATACTAGTCATGTTATTTTTGCTCGATTGTATGAGTATGCGTATTTGTGCGTGTTAGTGTCTATATGCAATACGGTTCCTAAATCAGAGTTGTCAAAGGTTAAATCTCAGGTTCTGATCCTCAAGACCTAATGACCCAAAAGAAAGCCTTGACTGAGACTGCGTAGGTCCGTAAAGAAGTGTGGTTGAGATATTGAAATATGAGCTTGGAAGCATGAAAATCAAGTTATTAAACCATTTGTTCTAATCTTTCAGTCTAGGGTCATTAACGTTTAACCTTCCAAGGAAAGGCAAGACTGGGGTCGCGTAATCTGACATGTCTGGTTTGGTCTATGAGCTTACTCTAACATTTAGGACGAATGTGAGTGAAATTAGAACCATCCCCGAGCAGACAAATTGAGTCGCCTTCTTTTTGACGACGGTTCAACACCCTCTCTTTCAATCTATAAATTTTCTACCACCATTCCTCATATTCAACGTATTTCCTAAGATATTAATTTCAATAGCCTCGCACAAATACACATACTCATACAATCGAGCAAAAATATCAGGACCAGTATGAAAGAAAACTAACCAAACTACTCTATATCGATCTATCTAGGTTTTTAATTTTTAATTTTT